TGGCACACGCTGATATTCCCAGCAGCTCCGGAGGCTTAGGCAGGATGATCCTGAGTTCAAAGCCAGCCTCAGCAATGGTGAGGCGCTTAGCAACTCAGTGAGACACTGTTTCTAAATAAAATGCAAAAATAGGGCTGGGGATGTGGCTCAGTGGTTGAGTGCCCCTGAGTTCAATCCACAGAACCAAAAAAAAAAAAAAAAAAAAAGTAAATATATGAATGCAAGTTTTTGAGGAAACATGCATGTTTTCAATTCTCTTAGGTACTTAAGAAGTGAAATTACCAAACTTCTTTCCAAAATAGCTGCACATTTTACATTCCCACTATCAGTGTATGAAGGTTCTAATTTCTCTGCTTCCTTTTTGAAACTTAATATTGTGATATTGAATTTTTTATTTCAGTACTGGGGATCGAGCCCAAGGTCTTGCACATACTAGGCAAGTGCTCTACCACTAATCTAAAACCTCAGACTGATGCTGACTTTTTGATTATAGCCATTCTAATTGGTATAAGGTAGTATCTCATGCGGTTTTGCTTTGCAATTCTCTGAGGACTAATGATTTTGAGCATCTTTTCATGTGCTTTTTGATCATTCGATTATCTTCTTTGAACAAATGTGTTTTCAAATCCTTTGACCCTTTTGTTGTCTTTCTACTGCTCAGCTATAAGAGTTTTCTTTTGAAAAGTTGTACAGAGTGATCCCATGAGGCACCAATACAATGATAAATGCAAAAAACATGGGTTCTGAAATTGGCTGGCTGTGCTTGGTTGTAAGGTGGCCACTCCCTAGATCCAAAGTAAAACTTACTTGTAAATAAATTTTTAAATTGTCGTTTTTTAAAAAATACACATTTTAAGTCTTTGATATAGAACACTGATATCCTCAAGAATATCTACAACTTAAATACTGGTTTTAAATTACCACCAATTGGCAGAATTAGTTCAGTGCTCTTTGAATGAGGAGGTAGGGTTCACAAGTATTTAAAATTTAAACATCAATATATGTTGTGACATGAGGACATGACTATATTTTTATTTTTAGGGAGAATCTGTCTGATGGTCATTATAAAAATTCTATAAAAATTCTATAAAAAGGGCTGTCAATATCCATGAATTCTACCCAGATCATCAAATGCTGGAAGTCCATGAGATCAAGGTAGCCTCCTCCATATCTTCTGGCTCACTTCAAGGCTATGAAGAAAATCAGGGCCCTGCTCATATTCTGCCTGATCTATTCCTTTTGAATATTTGGAAATATTTCCCTTCTTATAGGAATACCCCAAAGATGGCAACCCTTACAGTAGGGCTGTATTCTACTTTTGGCTTCTCTTTTAAAAATTGTTCCTACATCAACTTTGCTAATCTGCTCCTATGCCAGATCTCAGGCCAATGTTTTTAATCTTCACTTTTCTGAGCACTGTTATAATTTAAAAGATAAATTTGGTTGATTGCCACAAAATTAGTGTAAAGGAATTCACAGGAAAGGAAATAGTATTAAGGCCCCTTATGGATTAATGACAAAGCTACTCAAATTCCTCTAGGTATTTTTCCTACTTTGCATGGATAAATTTAAATTGGATAGACTTTAAAACTTCCTTAATCTACTCGAAAAATACAAATAAAAATACACTGCCAATGAGAAATTGAATTTAAAAAATAAAAGCATGTCCATATTTTTCCTTATCAATTTTTAAATTGTTTTAGAAAGAAATATGGGAATTTGTAATCAGAAATATAAAATTTAATTTAATAAGCCAAATTTCAAAGAAATTTTCTTTCCACTTAACACCCCAAAGAGTAAACAGTTCAAAGAGGTTAAAGCAGTGTTACTTACAGTAATAAAGGAATTAGAAAATGTACTTTTCTAAAGTCTTATGGTTAAGAAAACTACTCTGTACCAATATTATAGACTATAAAGTCCTTACAAAATATAAGACTCTAGAGCATGCTGATATATGGAAGTATGCTCATGAAATAATGTTAATTATAAAATAGCCATTGTGTACAGATGTACATTCATCTACTTTAAAGATTTATAAATTATTCTACATCATTCTGTCTTCAAACAAAATCTATTTCTAACAGTTTATACACACACACACACACACACACACACACACACATATATATAAATCCAATGAAGTATGTGAATGTACACAGACAAATAAATGTAAGATAACATTAACACAATTTTATGTTTTTTGGATTCTTCAATTTCAAAACAGCATTCCACAAAACTCATTCTATTTTATTAAAGTGCTCTTTTTTATCTTTCTTTCTTCTTCTTCTTTTTTTTTTTTTTTTTTTTTGGTATTAGGGATTGAACTCAGGGGCACTCAACTACTGACCCACATCCCCAGCCCTAAAATGCATAAAATAACAAATTGAGAGAATTTGTTAAATGGGCTAAGTGAATGTCTTTAGAAATTCTCAGTCTTTAATCCATTAATGTGCATTGCAAATCTCTAAAAATAAAGAGATTCCTCATATTAACTCAGCCTACTTTTTATCATGATTTACACTTAATTTACTTACATAAATATATTTGTATAAATATTATTTGCACTTGGGTTTACTAATTTATCTTTCCCACCAAGTTATATATCCTATCAAGACAGGTAACAATATCTGTCTTCTTCACCATTATTCCGAGACTCCAGCCAAGGGATATAGCAGGAACTCAATAAATATTTTTGTAGTAAATGAATTGCCAGAGGAACATCTGGGTGGACTAGTACTTGAAGTTATACATTTTGGGAACTATCATTCTAAAGTTATTCAATTTTATAATAACTTCAGAGAAAAATTGTGTTAACAAATCTCGGCCACTAGGGATTCATTTAATAAATTATTGCTATGCTTTAGTGGAATAACTTACTACTTCAGGGAACTGAGGAGATTTCTCAGAGTACCTCATGACCTGGAAAAGTCTTGTGAAATCATTTTTAAACTCTGAAACTCCAACTTAAAAACAGTGGTAAAAATGACAGTTACCATGAAGTGAACTGAAAGGAACTGTGCTTTGCATCAACACCAGTGTCTTCGGGAACACATTTGGCAATACTGGGTCTTCCATCAAGGATGTTTGCTTATTTTAATAGTTCAAGTATGAAAAGCAGATATTCCTTCTGGCAACTGCAAACTGTTGACTCATTGATTCTCTTTGGGGATAAGTGATTTCACATATTATTTCTGGATAATTAGAGCCCATGTTAAGATAGCTTTTAAAATATTTGAAATGTACTGGAGTGGCAGAAAGATCCTAAGTTCAAGGTCAGGCTGGGCAACTTAGTCCCACCATCTCAAAATAAAAAGGGATAAGGATATAGCTCAGTAGTACAGTTCAATATCCATACACACAGTAACCATAACAAGCACATATATATGCATGTGTGTATGTGTATATAGGTAAGCCATGCATTTAAACACACACATATGTTATATACATATAATATTTATATTTATATATATATATATATATATATATATATATATATATATATAATATGTGTGTGTGTTTAAATGCATGGCTTACCTGTATGTTTTATACAATAACTTAGTTGTATGTTTTATACAATAACTTAGTTTTATGATATAATGCTACTTAAAAGAAAACACACAGAGAAAAGCTACATATTTTCATTCATTGCTAAGATTCATCACCTTCGTCCATCAGTCTTCCAGAAGTGCAAGAAGAAAAAAAAAAACACTAATTTCATTATTTGAGAGTAGTTGAAGTGAAATAAAAATTACTATAAAATTTAGTGATTTTTTTTACAGTTATCAAAATGGAAAGTATTTTAGTCCCCCATACCCTGACACATCACTAAAAGCTTAGCTTATATCTAAACTTTAAACCTGAATAGTATTTGGCAGTGGGGGAGGGGTGCATTTCAAGTCAAACAAAGGATGTATTTCCAAAGCGTCCCTTGCAAAGGTTAACCTGTAGGGACTACAGAGGGGAAAGTGCAGTGCCCCAATGATCGATCCAAGACCCCCTTCTGGTTTTGTTCTGCTTTTCCTAGTTAATAAACCACCGGGGGAGATCATTTTAAATTTAATTTGCTGAAATGGAAATTTACTAATGTCTGAAAAAAAAATTTACCCCAATTTTAGAACTTTTTATAAATTGATTTTTATATGCAAAAATAAAGTTGTTGTTTTTGTTGTTTCTTCTTATTGACACCTTCAACAGAAAAGATGAAGGATACATGTCTACTTGATAATAAGCAGGAAGAAAATTTACAGAATACCAGAGCCCAAGGTGCTCTTTCACAGCTCACAGATCTCTTAAAGATTCGAAGGCCATTGCAGTCCTTGGAGTTAATGGGCTTTCATAGGAACGAAGGTCTCCTGACTGCTGGTCTAACCTTTTTCCCAACACCAAAGCTCTAGCGGCCCCAGCTAGAGTGAAGGTCAGAGTCCACAGAATAATCTCTGCAGTCCACAAGAGTGAGGATCCTCCTATCCGAGGGAGTTTTAAAATGTGGTTCATGAAAGGGCAATATCTGAACATTCTATTCCAAGGACACAATTCGGCCAAAAGATGAAGGAAAGGCGCAGTTTTTTAGAGGCTTGTTAGGAACTAAGAGTAGGGAGGTGGGAACTGGGGTGGATTATGCTAATAAAAGCAAAGTCTGGATCAGCAAGGTATAAAACTGGGCTTTATAATTCTAGAGCTGCTTGGAGAGGAAGATCCAGGAGACCATGGAACCCCGCGGGCGAAAGCGGATCCTCAGCTGCGCCCAGTTGGGGGAGCAAAACTGCGAAGCCGGGTTACCCTGGCTCTCTGCTTGCTCCCCCTCAATGCACGTAGTCCGCCCCAGATGCCCCCACGCACTCCCGAGCGCCCTGCGCGCTGCCAGGTTTCTCTCCGCGCTGCCTGGCTCTCCTACTCCAGTGGCATCCCCCAGCCCTCTCCGTTTTCCGCGCTCTCCGGACGCGCAGCCCCTAGCGGCGCGTCACTGCGAGGTCGGCCTCCGGCGAACCTCCCTCCCTCTTTCCTGGCTCTAAGCTATCCAGCCCGGGAGGCGGGGAAGCAGCCCGAGCGCGAACGCCACGGCAACCACCCTCAGCCTCCAGCCGGAGAAACAGTCCGTAGGCCCTGGAGCCCGGCCGGGCCCTTGGGAAGCCGGCGCCGCCCCCGGGGAGCCGCTGGGCTAGCCCCTACCCGGCGCGGAAGGCGCAGAGGTGAGCGGGCTGGGGAAAACCAGAGCGGAGGTCGCAGCGGAGTTGAGGGTCACGGTGCAGTCAGCGCCACGCGCTGCAGACATCTACCTGAATCCCGCGCCCTCTGCGGACATCCGCCCTGAGCTGGTGGGGTTCCTGATCTCCGGGCAGCTGGAGGAGGGGAGTGGGATGCGTGAAGAAGGGTCTGTTCCACCAATTCCGCTCCCTACTCCTCTTGCTCTTTCTGCAGCTCCTGGAAAGTCTTGAGGTTGGGCCCAGGAGAAGGGACTTCGTCCCAGGTAGGATGTGCCAGAAAGGGAAAGGACAGGCAGGTTACTTTGCTCTCCCTGATAGTCTACCTGCCACTTTGGGTTGATGCAGCGCATTTCATTGAAGATCAAGCTACCCTGCTGTGCGAACAGGTATTTCTAGGAGTCGTTTTATTACCCAGTAATGTAATTGTGGTGTGTTTAGGCCATTTTGTGTTAGAAAGTAATTGGCTTCTTTGAGTGTCCTAAATTATCTTTGAGCCCTGTATTCAGCCTCAGCCAAAACTTGTTGAAAATTATGCCCTAAAAATCTTTCTCTTAAAATAGAGCAGAGAGATAAAGAGAATTTTTGTCCGGAGATTTCCATTTATTATCTCCCCCACCCTGTGGAGGATTGGTGTCAGTTTTCACTCCTCAGGCAGATAGTTTTTTTAGATGGAGAAACTTATTCCAGGCCATGGTTAATTATTGCTCATCATTTAGGGAGAAACAAAATTCAGACTCCTGCCCCCACCCCGCCCTCATGGCTTAGAAGAGATTCTATCTAGTCCCCTTAACAAGACTGTTTTGAACCTTTTAGTTCTCTCCAAAGCACCTCTTTATCCTCCTTTCCCCTCCTTTGTTTGTTCATTTTCTTGATCTGTTTTTCTTCTTTCTCAAACGCTATATGTGTGTATATACATTGTTTTCACTCTGCATCTCTTTTTCTGTTCCTTCAAAGCCTAGAGAGAGGATATTTGAAAAAGGAAAATGCCCATCCTAAATATTTAGAACTGTAAGGGCAACTACACTGGCTGCCACTGGAATGTTGCAGTTCCTGCCTCTTAGCTAGGCAGTCTGTTGGGGGTGCGGAAATAGACAATATCAATAATGATAAATAGAGCTAATTTTGGAGGATAGCAATTTAAACATCTATCCAAATCACTTTTTAGTGTACTGGTGTCATGGAAAATGTACTTGTGGTGAATGAGCATAAAATGTGTTTTAATACTGAAAAAAAAGCACAAATAAAGACATCTTTTTAAAGAAAATATTATAATTCATACACAAGAGTGACAAAGAGCTGGGTGCAGTAGTGTGCACCTGTAATCCTGTATTTGGAAGGCTAAGACAGGAGGATCACAAGTTCAAGGCCAGCCTGAGCAATTTAATAAGACCCTGTCATAAAATTTTAAAAAATTAAGAAAAGGACTGGGAATGTAGCTCAATAGTAGAGTGCCCTTGGGTTCAATCTTCAGGAAGAAAGTAGTGAGACAGAGGATGCACCAACAGTTTGAAAAGCTAGGCTGTGGAGGTGCCTTTACTCCCTGCTTAGCCCATAACCATGACATTAAAGTAACTAAGACATTGACATATCACTCCATTTGGGCCCACATGTCTTATATCAGCCTAAAGAGAGGTCTGACTTAGAGACCTATTACATCTCTTTTGGCCCTGGAATTTTATTTTATTTTTTATTTTTTTGCCCTGGAATTTTTGATGCAATCAATAACAAAGAATATTTACTGCATGCTTAATTACTGTATGCCAGACAGTATGGAGGAACTGATGGATAAGACAAACATGGTTCTGCCCTCAAATTGCTTTATTGCCTGGTGAGGGAGATAGTAAATTGTATACAAACAATCACATAAAATTATTACAAAGAAAGTTTAATAAGGGTGAAAAGGAAAAGGTGGTAAAAATCTGGGGTGAATCATTGTAGTAAAGACAGAACAGCATATGCAAGGTTCCCAAGATGGGAAAATGACTGGTCTTTTCTACTTACAGAAAAGAATGCTGTGGCTAGGCAATAGGGATTTGGGGTCATTCAGGATGAGATTAGAAAGGTAAGAAGAGGCTAGCCCATTCAGGACCTTTTAGATCATAGTCAGGAAGGTGGTGTGTTGAAGAAGCCATTGATTTTTAGGAGGGAGAGATATTTTATATGTGTGTTTTAAAACTCAGCTGCTACGTGGAGAATGGTTTGTTTGGAAAGGACAAAGGAGAAGATGGACTAACCCTTTAGAAAATGTTTGCAAGCTGAGCAGGGTGGCCTACACCGTTAGTCCCAGCTTCTTGTGAGACTTAGGTGGGAGGATTGCTGGAGCCCACCAGTGTAAGACCACTTCAAGCAACATAGCAAGAGCCTATCTTAGAAAAAAGAAGAAGAAAGAAAAGTGTTATGACGAATTTGGGTAAGAAATGATAGGCACCTGGACTAGAATGATGTTGTGAAGAGGAATTGAAGAAATATTTTGAAGAACAGGAGTAGGGTTGGATTTTATTCCAAGGATTGGGGAAAGCAAGGAGTAGAGAGTGGCTGTCAGATTTCTGACCTGAGAAACTGGTGAGTAATGGTACCATCCACTGAGATAGTATTTGGGGTGAATAGAAACAGGACTGGGTGGGAGAAAAGTTTAGTTTTAATGGTGTTATGGTTGGGAGGTCACTGAGGAAGGTCATAACCGGACCCCCTTGGGAAGTAAAAAGGGATGGTCTCCAAGACAGAAAGGGTAGGCCTTTGGTAGGTGAAGCTGATAATCATGAATTTAAGGTGAGAAACTTGGTTTTATGATTTTTTCTTAGCAGTCTTCACCAACGTGGGTACAGATACTCAACATATGATGGAGAGTAAGAGTTAAGGATCTTTTCAAGGGAGTGACTTTTAATATGCACCATGAAATTTCTAGGCTGGGTTTAACTAGGAACAGGTGGATGGGGAATGAAAAAAGAAATGTGAGATACATAGATCAGAGTTATTTTGCTGTCTAGAATTATAAGTATGAATATTTAAACTGGGGTTATCAGCAGGCTAAGAGATAATGCTTGAAGATACCAGGAAGTGAATGACTGAGGTGGAGTGAAGGCAAGGATTCATTGCCTTTGATGCATAAGTCAAGGAAATAAGAGGCCCTGAGGTTGAATGGTTCATCCCCAGGAATGAGGAAATCCTGGAGAGGGACGGCAGTTGTTGGATCACAAAGACCTACTGTATATGCACTGGGGGCCATGGTCTCCAGTGATGAGGAGTAAGCTTGAGAGGGTATTATGAGAAGCCATGAGCTGCAAAGGAGCAGGGTGTTTTCACAGAGACAAAGAAGAGAAGTTCAGATGAGGAATTACAAAGAATATATTACCTCATCTTGTGGCCCTGGAGGATTACATTTCGTGATAACTTATCTAAACCAGCAGATTGCAAATGTCATCAAAATCTCTGAGGGCAATTTTGAGTTATTGTTATCCAATAATTAATGCCCTAGATGTTTCTTCACAAAACAAATTAAGTTCTATTTTTCAAAATTAACATAGCATAACAGCTGCCTGTCAGCTAAAGGAATGTCAAGGAATCCTAAACTGAAAGCTTTAGCAGGTTATGTAGCTGAGTGTAATTGAATTTTCTTATCTTGATAATCCACTCTCGAGCATTAAATGCATACAGCAAATCAAATAATCATTCAAGACTTAGGATCAAAAGAAGTTTACTGTTGGAAAGGACCACAGGAGTCAAGTACAACCTCTTTATTTTCCATTTAACAAAGGAAACAAACTCAGAGAAAGAAAATCAAGGTGATTCACAAACCTTTAACTGTTTATTTCCTAGACATAATAAAAACAAAACCTTCTGTAAATGACATTGCTTTATTATTTAATCTAGTTTACCTGTACATAACATCAAATGAAAAGATAAAGAGACTAAGATTTTTGTTAGCCAAAGTGTGACCATGGACCAGCACCATGGGCATCAGCTGGGAGTTTGTGAGAAATGAAGAACTCAGCCTCACCTCAGACCTAGACAATCTCTGTGCATTTTAGCAAGATTCCCCATAGTCACGTTTGTATTAAGCTTTGAGAAGCTGTGTTCCAGAGCAAGTCAGTCCACTTGAAAAGTCTAGTCTGCTAAGGTCAGTAGGACCTGTGATGTCTGGAGAACTAAGAAGAGGAGCCCCTTATTTTAGTCAGCTTTTTCACTGCTGTGACCAAAAGACCTTACTAAAACAATTTTAGAGAAGTTTATTTGGTGCTCACAGTTTCACGGTCTGGGTCCATAGATAGGTGGCTTCATAACTCTGTGCCCAAGGTGATACAGATTATGGCAGAAGAGTGTCGTGGAGGAAAGTGGCTCAGGACATAGCCACCAGGAAGCAGAGAATCCCCTTACCATGGACAAAAAAATGTACCCCAAAGGCATGCCCCCAGTGACTCACCTCCTCCATCCACACCCTGCCTGCCTTCAGTTACCACCCAGTTAATCCCTATGGGGGATTAATGCACTGATTAGGTTAAGGCTCTCCTAACTCAATCTTTGCACATCTAAGCTTTCTTGCATTGTCTCTCACATGGGGTTTTGGGGAAAGCTTGTATCTAAACCATAACAACCCTCTTACAGGACAGGAAGTAGAGATACTGTCTGGATTTTGAATGTTATGAAACAACAGAAACAAAAGTATTTTGTGTGGTGGGGTGACACATTTTAAGGAATGGCATTGCCCTTCCCAGAACAGAGAAGAGAGAAGGTTGCAAAATAGTGAGTGGATCTTCTGTACTGCTTCTGCTTCAGTGGGAAAGGGGACAGGACTGCTTACATATTCTTCAGCTTACTGTATTCAGGACCAATAGTTATGTTCCCACTAGTGTTCTTTTTCATTCTTACAAGCAGCAGTGTAAAAATGGTCATAAATGAGAGACAAAAACCCACACCTGCTGTCTCCAAATAGCATATAAGTACTAAGTTGAATCCTGAATCTTTTAGTAGAGTTGCTTTCAATTTCA